AATAAAAAACCTTGTGAAATTCTCGATGAGTTATAGAAGGTGACACAAAAGTTAAAACAGTAAATGGTGTTGCTAAGAGCCTAAAATCGTTTCAGTCTTTAAAGACGTAGTTTGAAATGCTTTCTTTTGTTGAACATAAAAGAAGACATTTTTGAAGAATGTTGCTGGTCTCCATTGACTTCCATAGTATGGAAAAAAATACTATGGAAGTCAATGGGGATCAGAAACTGTTTGGTTACCAACATTCTTCAAAATATATTTTTTGTTCTGCAGAAGAAAGAAAATGTGTTTGGAACAATTTGAGGTTAAGGAAACAATGACAGAATTTTCATTTTTGGGTGAACACTTTAAAGGAGCACTCAGTAATTTGTGCCTATTAAAAAAGTTTTACCATTCATTCATTAAGAAATTAATGGCACTTTTGAAAAATGTTTAAAATGATGTACGCTCACATGAAATGAACGCTCCAGTCATATCAGTAGCACAATAAACGCTGATTTATTCTGCTTTGAGCAGGTCCCCTTATGGGGACTACCAAGTTAAGATCACATGACCAGCTGAATTTTCTGACTTTTTCTCAATAACCTTCCTGTTATTAGACACATTCTCTCATGGAATAAATTATGAACGTCTCTTTGTCAAAAGCACAATGCTACAAATAACTGAAAACATTTCACACCAGGTGTCAGTATGACTTGTATCGGCCAATAAACATACACAGATTTAATTCAATTTTAACTTAAAATATAATCTTAAATATTAAATATTATAACTTAAAATACAACCTTTAAATGTTGGTTGTTTTGCACAGCTTTTTAAGTAGGGGTGATTCTAGTATTTAGTCTCAGTTATGACATATATTGGTGCTTTAAGTGCAATATTTTACAATTATTTTATTTTTGATTTTTTGTTAGATCAAATCTATTAAAATTTCAAGTGGTTGTGAGAAAGGCACATATCGGTAAAAAAGGATGCTATTGGTTTCACTTTTTGTGATCTCACTAGACTGGAGAGCAAGCAACAGAAAAAAAAAAGAAAAGAAAAAAAGCAGACTTGCTGCTTGAGGCAAATATCTTTCCTCTGCCATCAAAAAGAGAGAAAAATACGCTCTAAAAAATGCTGGGTTGTTTCAACCCAACTTTGGGTCAAATATGGACTAACCCAACTGTTGGGTTAAATTTTTACATTACATTTTTATCCCAAAAGTTGGGTTAGTCCAAATTTGACCTGAAGTTGGGTTGAAATAACCCAGCATTTTTTAGAGTGTAACAAACATTTTTGAAAGCTAATCAGCGGCTGGAAAGGGGAGTATTTATTGTGAAATACCCTAAAAGCATGCAACCACTGTATTGGGTAATAAGAAATAATATTCGTAGAATCACAGATTTTTAGGAGAGCTGAGATAAAAGACAGGCCACAGCTGAAGCCCCCTAAATATGGTCTAGCAATGGCCATGTTTGAAAGAGAAGTGTAACGATGAGAATGTAAAAAGAGGCTCTGAATTGCTATCATTACAATCAGTATAATTAGAATCCTGCTTTGGCAGGTCCAGCTGGCACAGATGAAGCTATCAGATGTCACTACACACGGCTAAATCTCAAATAATCCTGAATTTTGATGAGCTTTCACAGCCATAATGTTATGAAGTGTTATTTGACTGTTCAGTGACTCTACCTACATTTTTGTAAAACTGCAAAAACATAACTATACATAGGCCTACAATTCCCCGCAGTATCCGGCTGAAATGATCACCAGTGGCAGTAAAACACCAACAACTTTTATTCTTTTCACACAAATTGATCACAAAGGCAGATGATCAGTTGATTTACTTTCACTCAATTCTTAGCATAACACTATGTTATGACCTCAAAAACACTTTTACCATAGAGCAAGATTTGTAAACAAATACATTTTGATGCTTGTGTCACATAACCAGCTCCATATGTACAGCTTTTCTGACATAGTGGCTCACCCGGTACAGCATTGCACTTGTACTGTGGAGCACTTAGGTACGAGTCCTGTGAAGCACAAAAGCTCAAAGACTTAGAAGCAAGCTAAATTGACATGGTTCCGTCAGCAAATGCATTTTTATCTCAAGTTTGCTTTTGTTAATATTATCAGTTCGTTTTAGGGTACACTCTAAAAAATGCTGGGTTAAATATGGACAAACCCAGCGATTGGGTTGTTTTCAACCAACAGTTGGGTTAAATGTTTAACCCAACCTTCTGGGCAGTAACCCAACCGCTGGGTCAAAAACAACCCAATTTTCTGGGTTTGTCCATATTTTACCCAGTGCTGGGTTGTATTTGACCCAGCATTTTTTAGAGTGTAGGTGGTATGTTGCTTTAAAACACAATAGAGCATTCACCTTACAGCACCCCTCAATGAACATTTCATTTCCAAACTGAGGTGATACATACAACAACCAATGTAATAAAACGTTGCCAGATTTACGTTCATCTGTTTCGCATACAACTGAACATGATGTGCAAGAAGCAATCATTTTGCAGAAATGTTCTCAAAGGCACATTTTTCCAATGAGCCTGGGTTGAATAATAGCCAAAAAATGAAAATTCACTCTCATGTCGTTCCATCTTTTATGTTCCATACACGAAAGCAAGCCACAAGAGTGAGTAAATGATGACACAATTTACATTTCTGGGTGAACTATATCTAAGTTCATGACCTTATTTTGAACACACACACACTTTTTTTTGCTATCCTCGCTTACATGAACTATAGTGTCCTGCACCCACTAGTAAAAAAATATCAAAAATTATATCTGGTGTCTGAATAATTTTTGGTTTGACTGTGTGTGTGTGTATATATATATATATATACATACACACACAGAATTTATAGTAGAATCTGATCTCAACACACCAGTAAATGAGCAAGTATCTCCTTCATTGTTCTTACTGATTAGGAGGTGACAGTCTTTGAGTGTCTGTTTGGTGCTCTGCAGCCCCTCCAAATGGCATGAGGGCTTCCACGTGATCTCCTACACTAATCCTAATTGCATCTCCATAACAACCAACAGCTACAAAGTCACTGCTAGCAGCTGAACCACACGAGGAGGCTTTAAAAATCAGTTTCGCATTAGCAGCAGTTCAACAACCCCCCAAGGTGTCACTGTAGCTTCCTATACTTGTGCAATACTGTCACTGGATTTGCTGTTAAGAAGCTGGTTTAATCAGCCTCACGCAGTGGTCTTGTGTTAAACTCAACGCAAGTTTTTCATGCAACTGAACAGATCAGAAGAGCAAAGGTGCAAAACAGTCTTTATTGACCTATGCAGATTATTCTCTTAAACAAGCTTACTAAAGCTATTTTAACCTTCAAGGATGTTGGAACTTGATTTAATATGACCACCATAATCGGATTTAGGTGAGACTCTATCCTCATCATTTTTCTCCATTACAGAAGGTAAGAAAAGAGTTGAATTGATCAGATCTTCTGCAGCACTACAGAAGTTGCTGAGGTAGCACTGAGGTTCACAACTGATGTTCCCACATCCCAGATAAGAAAGTTTAATGTATATGCTGCAGCCTTAATGCGGGCTGTTTACCATAGCCCTTGGGGGTATGTATGCAATTTTTTTTTGGAGGCGAGATGGAACTTATATGGTAGAATATGTGAGAAATAGACCAGGGAGTTTCAAAATGATGATGCCAAGGACCCTTAAATATCATCTCCCCCCCCCACATGCATAAATGTCCATTCATAATGTGTGAGAAAAATTAGGATTTTATAAAATGAAGTTGCTTGCAAAATTAAACAGTTATTGTCAATGTACTGAAGCCCAAGCAAATCAAAATGTTACCTGGAAAATGCTTACATTGTATTATTATTCTTCTACCCATTCTAATTAGCAGTCTAATATGGTGATAAACTCTAGATACAACCTAATAAAAATACATAATTCATAAAAATAAAACACCGTAAAACATGGCTGTCAATAAAAATGTATTTCCATATTTAGAATGAAAAAATAAACCGTTATGGCAAATTAATTAAAAGGATAGTTCACCCAAAAATGAAAATTGTGATCATTTGCTCCCCCCGCCCCCCCCCCTTGTTCCAAACCTGTATGAGTTTCTTTCTTCTGTTGAACATAAAATATATTTTGAAGAATGTTGCAACCAAACAGTCCTTGGTAACCATTGACGTCCATATTTTTTTTCGATACTATGGAAGTCAATGGCTACCCTCAACAGTTGATTTACCCAAATATATTCTTTTGTGCTCAAAAGAAAAATAGAACTTCATACAGGTTTGGAACAAGTGGAGGTTGAGCAAACGAAAAACTTTCATTTTGGGTGAACTATCCCTTCAAAAGGTTTAAAAAAAAAAATCAATTAACAGATTAACACATTTTAAAGGCCCTAAAAATATTTAACATTTTGCAAAAACGTCTAGTCCCTGACCCGTTTGAAAACCCCTGAAACAGAGCATGCTAACCCACCCCTAGAATCAAACCCCCAATATGAAGCACAGTGTAGAAAACGGGCAAATATATTGCTTTGCAGTCATTATACAAACTCCAGAAAGCTATATTTATTACATATCTGCCCAGCATGAGCTCCAGCTCTCTCATAAAAACCAGTGCCCCCTGAGATATAAAGTAAATTGCCTACAAAAATGCAGCATATAGTTTCTTTATTTGGGATGCAGGAACATCTTCTGCAAACTTGGGCGCATCCCTTACATACTATATAATGCCCTCGAGGTTTATTGCCAAAATGAACCACTATAAAATGTCATCTTCGTGAAGCATATGTGAGCAGAGCAGAATGGAGTCCTGCTCTGTCAAAGAGAACCTCACTCAAGCTACATGTCTGACTGCTCATGTGTAGGTTTTCACACAGGAACAGGTATATTTACTTGGCTACCACAGCTCAACAACATCTTACCATCTCACACAGCTCAAGCACTCCGCTACCAGCCAATTAAAAACATGATTTACGACTTCAGCAAGTCCTGAATCAAACAAACAGTGATGCTTTAAATAGTAAATAGGCTTTGACGCTTTATTTTTTACAACAAATTGAAGTTTTAACATTTCATACAAACACTTTTATAAACCATATATAAAAATTAAATTATTTACACATCAAAAACGTTTGGTAATCAATCATAATGTACGGCTGTATAACACTCCCAGGTCATTAACAGCTCTTTATGTGCTTGCTTTATATGCACCCTCCACCACTGGACATGTTTTTTCACCCAACTGAAATGTATTATTCTGTAACAAGTGCTTAAACTAAAACTTAAAGCTTAAAATTTCAGATTTACAGTTATGCTATTACAACACAGCCAAAAAGATGCACAAAGCTTCACCCTCGGAGCGCGACAACTTCAATCTGCTCCAGTCCGTCGTAGCCCTCCCATATGCTTTATTTACTTTTACAATGTTCCTCTACATCTGACAGTGACCAAAAAGCCTACTTAGCTGAACATAAAAATTAATGTTTGCTTTAGAGACTCAATGGAAATGTCATGAAACAAAAGGTTAAAGCCAAAAGGCATATTTGATCTGACCTTTACATGATGTACCTGGCTAATTAATTCCCCTTCTGCATAAACTGCATAGCTGAGATTTAAAGGTTAAACTTCCACAGCTGCTTGATATTGGGTTTATGAATAGATAAGGAAATGTGTGCAAAGGCTCTTGTGTGTTTAACCTGAAATGGCAATCAACAACGCAAAACCATTTCAGACTTCAATTAGGCCAAGAAACCAGGTCTGAATGAATATGAGAAGATGCCATCAAGAAGCAAAAGGCACAAATAGCCATTGAACTAAAAGAGCATGAAGGCAATAGGAGTGTTTCTGAATGCTAACTTGCGATTAACAAGACATTTAGTGGAATAACCTCCGTCCGAGCAGGTTAATGACATGTCAGTAGCACTCATGATGACTCAACTTCACCAGAGCTTTAAAACTTCATCAGATCACAAGACTAAAAGGATTCTCAAGCCGGCTCTGGTTGACGCACGCTGGTCTGAGGTGGCATGAGCGTCAGCAGAGTGCAGGTGGACGACACGCTAGGAAACCGCTCATGGAGCGAGCTGTTACCGTTCCATCCGGGAACCACAGAAGATTCCACCGAGTTGACGCAGCTTGAATCACTGTCAGAACCTGGACAAAGTCCTAGACATAGTCTCTGAAGAACCAAATGGAATTTCCTTCTAAAGCTATGGTTGATCCAGAAGTAGAAGATACAATTGAGGAAGCCATTGGAGGTTGGTAACCACACAGCAATAAACTCGATCCATTCGGGGACACCACTGCCGGAAATCGCTGTGAACAAGGAAAACATGCTTTAGGACTTATTCTTTCTTCAATATATTAGCATCATGGTAATAGGTACTAAATAAAAGACATTTACAAAGCAGCATCTAATCCAGACAGCCTATGTATGAAATGACTAACTTTAGGGTTAAAGTGGACAATTTCATTATTTACTCAATCGCAAGTAATTTCAAACCTACAGGGGTGTAACTGTACATCATTACTAGTTACTACACTTAAAGTCGGCATTAAATGGAAATTCAACCTATTTTATAAATACGTCTTACTGATTTTATTGAGAACAATTCATCCATGCATGCGTTTCGTTTTTTCAAATTATTTATTTATATAATAAATATAATATATTATATATAATATTATATTAATTTGTAATCAAATTATTATATCTCAAGCTTACGGTGAATTCTAGTCTGTGTGACTTACTTCTGCCAAGAAAAAAAAAAAAATGATGATATTTTGAAAAATTTTGTTAAGCAAAGAGTTTCAGTTCACTTGACTTGTATTCTTTCTTTGTATTGTCTCTTGTAATCTTTGTCCATACAGTGGAATTCAATGGGAACCGAAACTGTTTGGATGCCAACATTCTTCAAAATATCTTCTTTTGTGTTACTTCTGTTATTTCAGTGCTATTTTGGGTCAATTATTATTATAATTTTTTTTTTTTTTTTACTATGGGGGTGTTCAATTTCTATTAAAAAGGCATTCAAACTACAATATTTCACAAAACAAACAAACAAAAAAAAAACAAAAGCTCTAGTCAACAGCCGTCATGTGTATGAACATGGCAGATGATCGGTCCATAAATATTATTAAAATGTTAATAAACTGTAAAATCAGCTGCTGAATTTTAACGTTTGACCATCTCAGGTAACAGGTTCCAGGATGATGGCTGCATCAGGAAATAAAGTATTTTTAAATACTTCAGTCCAATTTAATATGGAAGGTTTTAAATGAGAGAAATCACTGACATAATTTAGGCTATGCTTTCTTCGACTACAGAAAAAAAGGAAACCATTTAATTTGCAGTGTTAACTTATGAATTAAATGAAAAACAAGAGATAAATCACAACAAGAACAATAGAGTTTTTTTCTTGTAATCAAGAAAAAATAGGCCTATTTGACAAAATTATACAATCATTGGTGTCAGTCGCAAATATTAAACATGTTTTAGGCTACAATGCATGGCGTGTGTGTTTCACTAGCTCCGTTCCCATGGACACCTTTTGTTTGATCTAATTCTGGATATTTCCAGCCTAAATCTGCCGTGTCTACACCAAGAGAACCCATTATAATCAGTTTATGCGGTGACCACACGGGAAGTGGCGCAAGGCGACAAATCTTCTACAGTAACTGATGCCTCCTCCTATCCCGAATCTTTGAAACATGCATTGTATGCATTGAAAGTGAAACCTAAAAAAAAGCAGCACGCATAAACCGATTGCACGCTTTTGCGAGCTTCAACAAATGCACGCCATCACAGATTGCACACTTCCCAGCCGAAACAACCCCCCACGTTTTTTTTACTTGAGTATGTTTTTGGCTACATTTGTTTTTAACGGTAAAATTATCTCTGCATACAGTATGTCACTAATTACGGAGTATTTGTTTTACACTCCTGCAGTTATTTAGCAAAATGCTCAAGCTGCTCTTTTCCACACAACCAAAGTAGACCGTAAACAAGGACTGTCAAGCTCCAAAAAGGACAAACAAGTGCCATAAAAGTGGGCAATTTAAATGCTATGTAGGAGGACTTCAGTCTCCTTGTCTTGTCTTTCATCTCAGCTCCCCTAAACCTCTTTGATTATCTCTTCATGTTTGCTGAAAACAGCAGTTGCAGTAAGCTATCTGAGGTCACCGCACTCGGAGTCCTTCCCTTATTGGTTGTAAGAAAGTTAACAACATATTATATTTCCCTCTCTCCAGCCATATAGGCCTAGGTGCCATAACCACAGACTGCTGCCATACATGTAGATGTATAGACATGCACTTGTGAAAGCTATGCTTTTCAGTGAAATTGCAAACAAAGTAATAAAAAAAGCAATGGTAACACTTTGCAATAAGGTTGCACATGTTAACATTAGTTATTATGAACTAACAATGAAGAATACTTTTAATTTTATAATGTTTACTAATATGTTATTAAAAATGGATCGGTACCTACTGTATTATTTAAATGGACCTCAGCTAACATTAACTATTATGAACAGTTGCATTTTTATTAAACAAATAAAAGGATTAATAAATATATATTCCTCCAGTCCTTTTTAGTTAAGCTGTAAAGTTTGGGACCTAAAGTATTACCAGAGCAACTATATACCACAATACACCAATGCAAAATACTAGGGCTGTCAAAAGTTTAAAATAATGGCAATCATTTATTTATTTGCACATTTATTTATTTTTCAAGCTCCTCAACACTGCATTTTCCATAAACTGTCCACAATATTTTTCACATGTTTTGCTTAATATATTTTTTTAATTGAAAATATTCATTTTCAACCTTCATATACCAAAATATATTTTAAAATGTATTTCAGGAGCAAGAAATAGCTAAATTTTGAAATTTCTTGACTTTTTAAAAACATATACACTACCAGTCAGTGTTTGAACGGTACTTTTTTTTGTAAGAATTCTCTTCTGCTCACCAAGCCTGCATTTATTTGATCCAAAGTGCAGCAAAAACAGTAACATTTTGAAATATTTTTACTTTTTCTATTTGAACATTTTAAAATATAATTTAGTTCTGTGATTTCACAGCATCATTTTAGCATCATTACTCCAGTCTTCAGTGTCACGTAATCCTTCAGAAATCATTCTAGCATTCTGATTTGCTGCTCAAAAAACATTTACTATTATTATTATTAATTGTTGAAAACAGCGGAGAAGAATTTTTCAGGTTTCTTTGATGAATAGAAAGTTCAGAAAAACAGCATATATCTGAAATAGAAATCTTTTGTAACATTATAAATGTCTAAATCATCACTTTTGATCAATTTAAAGCATCCTTGCTAAATAAAAGTATCAATTTCTATCATGTACTTCCTCAAAAATAATAAAATTACACTGACTCCAATCTTTTAAATGGTAGAGTGTATAATGCTACTTTTTATTTGGGATAAATGCTGATCTTTGGATCTTCCTATTCATCAAAGAATCCTGAAAAAAAATGTACTCAACTGTTTTAAATATTGATAATAAATGTTTCTTACACGGCAAACCAGCATATTAGAATGACTTCTGAAGGATCATGTGACACCAAAGAATGATGCTAAAAATTCAGCTTTGAAATCACAGGAATAAATTACATTTTAATATCTATTCAAATAGAAAGCAGTTATTTTAAATAGTAAAAATATTTCACAATATTACTGCTCTTGCTGTATTTTGGATCATATAAATGCAGGCTTGGTGAGCAGAAGAGAATTCTTAAAAAACAAAAAAAACAAAAAAACACTTTTGACTGAGTGTATTTTCGAAACTACATTTATATTTAAATGCTTCAGCAAATGGGTTTAGAACAACACCAGGATGAATATAAATGACAGGCTATTAATCATGATCTCACCATTGTACAGCATGATGACCATGCAGGGCGTCCAGCAGGTGTAGTAAACGGTCATGACTGGCACTAAAACGCGCAAGGCGACTTTAGGCCTGTATCCTCCACCCCAGCTGTGCCTTCTCAGCTTTAGCCTCTGTCTCTTCGCGGCTATCCACAGTCGGAGGTTACAGAAGGTCATGATGGCCGAGCACGGAAAGAAGATGAAGCACGTCAGAGACAGAGAGTAAGAGACATTGCTGGAGTACAGCGGGTTGCACACGAGCGAGGCTCTGGAGAACTGCACTTCAATGATGCCCGCCGGGAACGAGATGGGAATGAGGAGAACGGGAGGGAAACCCCACGCGAACGCGATCAGAAGCAGCGCTCTTCTCCTGGTCAGCACGGTGGAGTACTTCAGAGGGTAAAACACTGCTATGTATCGTTCCAGGCTTATGGTTGCAAGGGTGTACATGCAAGTGGAATAAACAGTCGCGTTGAAAAATGCCACGACGTGACAGAAGGGGTCCGGGCCCCCGTTATATTCTTTCATGAAACTCACGCACAAATTGAGCGGCATGATAAGCAGCCCGAACGCCGAGTCCGCTCCCGTTAACGATAAAAGAAAGTACCGAGAGTTTCTCGACCATCCCGATACCGCTGAAGCTATGACCATCACCACAGCTATGTTTCCCAACGTTATCATCACTCCCAAAACCGATATAATCCCGATTTTAATGGTGCGGTGAGCCTCCAGAGTCCTCTGTAGATCCGTGACATTCAAGTCCACGTCTGTTGACGGAATGGAAAGGTTGTTTATGCCGGACATCATGGCGCATTTCCATCAGTGACCCATGGCTATTTGAAAAATCCTTATTTTTCAAACGTTACAAATAGTTTTGACAACGATCAACTGTATGCAAACAGAATCTACATGGCCGACGCTCCAGGAAAGATGAACACCTGTAGCAAATCAAGATCTGTCACGTGATGCCGCCCTGTTGAATGGCCTTAATTGTCACATCGTTACAGGTGACCCGTTTTTGAACAGCCCAGCCATGCTTTTGGAGGACACATAGGGGAATGGCGCTAATAAACCTACTTGTTTTATTTTGAATATTTGAGTAATGGAATAGTTATTTGGAATCATGTGTTGCATTGTAGAAGTCACAACTAAATTTAGCTTTACAGTGAAGAAAGGTGATGGTCACACAGTAGATGCAGTAAAAAAAAATAAAAATAGTATAACTTAACTCTATATAGCAGGGGTGCCCAAACTCGGTCTTGGAGGGCCGATGTCCTGCAGAGTTTAGATCCAACCCCAATTAGACACACCTGAACCAGCTAATCAAGCTCTTACTAGGCATACTATAAACTTCCTGGCAGGTGTGTTTGCTAGGAACTTCCAGGCAGGTGTGTTGAGGCAAGTTGGAGCTAAACTCTGCAAGACATCGGCCCTCCAGGACCGAGTTTGGGCACCCCTGCTATATAGGAAAGGCCTTAAAATGATCAAGATCAAAACTTAAATCAAAAATAAAAAATGAATGATTTTTATAAAGTAGACATAATTGTTAGTAATATTTCAAAACAAACTCTTACTGGACTGAAGCAACTTAGGTTTACTTGCCATAAATAATTTTTTAGAAACGTCATCATGTTACAGTATGAGGCTCAGCATCAGGCTTTTGAGGAACAGAGTAGTCTGTTTTATAAAGATCTCTTTGATTTACATTGCATCATAATTTCATCTTACTTTTTGGCCATATAAATATCAGCAGCTGCACCAAATAACATATTTTTTGCTCAGTTCCTTCAGCTTCTGAATAAAATTGAGGCGTTTATTTTATTTATTTTTTCTCCTTAAGTATGTGATCCATGTTTTCACTATATGGGCCATATAAGAGCCTGATGTGTCATTTTTATTTATCCATTTATTTATTTAAAAAAATTATTTTTCTGAGTATTATTTCATATATCATGGTTCATTAAACTACAAAACCTTTCTTAATCCAAAAACTATTTAATGATGTCTTTATTTATAATGTCAGGTGGTCTTATAAGGAATGACTGCAGTGTTTAGAACATATTGCACATTGTATAAAAAGCATTAACTGAATTCATTTTGCTCAGAATACTATTTTAATTAACCCATTTACATTATTTTGATTGAGTAGACAGATTGGGCATACTGAGAAGAAAAATTATAGGCTCTACATGGGACTACAATTATTCAGTACTCATGTTGATTACATTTTTAACGTTCTGTTATTTAAGTCAAAGGGACATTTTCAAACTTTCATTTTTAGTTTTCTTAAAGCAAACAAACACTTAAAGGTATAGTTCACCTAAAAAAAAATAAAAAAATTGTATCATCATTTACTTAACCTTGTTCCAAAATTGCTCCAAACGTGTATGAGTTTCTTTGTTCTGTTGAACACAAAAGATATTTGAAAAATCTTGGTACCCAAACAGTTGCTAGCCATTAGGGCCTTTCGCACCGCGGGAACCTTTTCATAGTACCAGAACTAATCGTGGAACTACCCACTTTTTGGCGTTTTCGGTCCTCCATCCTCCTGTTGTTAATGTTGTTCTTCTTTGTTTCTGTTGTTGAACGGCGCGCACAAATGACGTCGCTGTCGACCGGCTTACGTCACTTCTTAATACACACTGTCGGTGCGAATGCAACCCTTTAAATGGTACTGGGAAATAGTTCGCGCAAAATCGTCCCAGTACTGTAGTACTGTACATTTAGTTCTGGAACTAAAGCGGTGCGAAAGGCCTTATTGACTTCCATAGTATTTTTTTTCCATACTATAGAAGTCAGTGTCTACCAGCAACTGTTTGGATACCAACAATCTTCAAAATATCTTCTTTTGTGTTCAGCAGAAGAACGAAACTCATACAGGTTTGGAACAACTTCAGGGTGAGTAAATAATGACAGAATTAAAATTGTTGGGAAAACTATCCCTTTAAAGTTGAAATTAGATACAAAAGTTTGAATGAAGTCTATAAAGTTTGGGCTAAATTAATTGCAGGGGTGAACCACAGTGAATGTCATTATATGTAGTGGAGAACACACTCTATGCAAACACGTTCAACATGGACAAATGCATAGATAATAAACAGTTTCCAGTTGTTTTTACACTGATGAGCAGAATTACTATGTGACATGACAGCAAAGCATTTAGCTGGCTGATTCCCTGACAGCTATCCCTATTAGAGACGTAATTAAGTGTTATTTAGGTGCTAAAGTTTAGTTGTGCTGCAGCTAGATGTTCTGCTGTAAATACAGTCACTGTCAAAAACACAAGTATCCAAAACGTGCTTCTAATGTCAATTACTTTCTATTGAATCATGATACAATCATGCAGCGAATGACAGCAGCAAGATTGCTTTAGGTGTTTTGTTTCAGCCTGCTGAGATATTTCTCTCATAGTCCAACTCCCCATTGACCTGATGTGTTAATTCAGAACCGAAACATTAAAATGCATCTTTTGTCCTGTAGATAGGCATGTTGGGCTGTTTTGGGGTTTAGATTGTCAGGAAGCCTTGTGTGCAAATCAAGAATCATTCAATATGTCTAATTAGGCACACAACCCAAACATGTGCAAGAGGCGCTTGTGAACATTTCAATCATCTTTTGATTGAGAAAAAGACTCTTGATTTAGTAGAGGAATGTATTAGTTCAAAATCTTGTTTTTATTCTTTTTAATAACATCACAATACCTTTTCATTTGCAGCATGACTGCAGAAGTTATTACCAACAAATGACAACTGACATGAGTGAGCATGAAGCTTTGATTGAAGCTGAGTGGGAAGTGAAAGGGGAATTTGATTCAAGATTAAAGTCGTGCCGTGTATGTATAGACTCATGTACGTCACCTCAGACGTTTGCTCATCTGACATTCTATTGTTGATTCGAGGGAAAATGAAGCTTTAACGACAGTTCATTTCTTGATCAGTGTGACGGTTCGATGTCTCACTTTAACTTTAAACACATTCCGGCTTTGGCCTACTTGCAGATTAGACCAGTTTATGATGAAGATACTTAATAGCTAATCTTTTCAAAAATTAATCGCTTAAACCATTAGTCATGCTGAGTTATAAATATACTCATTTGATGTAAAATAACAGTTCAAGTTAAAGCAGGGCAATAACCCACACTAAAATGTATCAATGCCAGTTCCTTTAACTATTTGTGTTTAAATTATATTTTTATTTTTGAATATCACATGGAATTTCGAACTGCATAGCAACAGTGTACCAGGGTTATCACTGTAAAAACAAAAAAATCTAAATTGTAATTAAAGGGAAAGTTATTGGAGTATGTTTTACAAGAAAATAATATTTCAGTCTTTCTACTTACAAAAATCTTGTCTTTCTCTTGTCTTTCAAGTTACAAAAATTTCAATGTGTTATGGGTTTTTTTACTTTGTAATTATTTGTAAAATTTAACAGCAGTTTCTTAGTGAAAATTATTTCAAAGTAAAATATCAGAGCTAAAACCATAAAAAAACATTTTTTGTTATAAGAAATAAAATAAATGTTCACTGAAATATAAAATATAATATAGGCAAAAACGTCTCAGGTTACATATGTAACCATGGTTCCCTGAGTAGGGAACGAGACACTGC